TATATATTTAAGAAACAATGTTTTTATTGTCTTTCAAATCAAACTGGATGTGTTGTGTATGAATGAGCATGTCTTATCCACCATTAGTGGCGGTGAACTGCATGTATGACACGATTATCATACATGATCTGAATCTTCTGTGAATATTATTTCAACGTTTGTTGTTTCACTCTGTCCCCTACTGTCTTAGATGAAATGTCAACATCTGTACACTTATATTTATTTCTGTTGTTTCTAGCTGCATAAACTACTTTTTTCTTTTTTTTATGAAATAGTTTATTATTTATTATTAATGTAATTCCACCTACTGTTTTGCAATCAACAGTGACATGTACAACACCCTTACTGGGAACTTCTCTATGTGCACATTGGAATGAATTGTTTATTTTGTACCATGTTAAATGTCATAAGTTTATATTTCTGTCCATCCTTGTACTGTATATGCAGGTGCTAATTTCTGAATGTAAACTATTCCCTCTCTTCTCACCGCAGTCATTACATCCATCATATATTCCTGCCCTCCTTTAATTAGTCTCTTAGTGATAATTTTTTGTCCAATGTTTGTGTACTGTCGTTTCGTGTTCTGTGTACTGTTGTGTCGTGTTGTGCTGTGTCTATGTGTTATTCTGTGTCTAAATCATACATGCAGATGTGATGTAACTTGTATGTATGTGACTACCAGTGTTTGTGTTTAAAGGAAGAACAAATATCCTCTGGTGGATATTGCAAATATTAACCCGGACAGATTCACACAGATCAAATATACTGTGTATGAACTAGGACACACTTAGCTGCATTATAGACTATAATGCTGTAATGCTATAATTCACATCATAATGTAATTACATTAAATATTAATTTCCCACTAGTAAAAACCATTGACGTCTGGCAAACTCAGATTTTCCACACTTGACCTTTGTGATGCAACTGAAAAAGATGGACTTTCTTTAACATGCTGGTTACTGCAAACAGACCAAAATTTTTGTAAATTGTTCAACACAGTATATTAAACTTTATTTTATTGCTGCACAGTTTCTAAACCATTCTGTGGTTAATATTTGTGCCACATACTGACACTCACCTTCCATCCCACCCTACTGAATGTAGCCACATCTCTATCACAGATGCTAATATCGCAGAAGCACAGAGTCTGTCAAGCTAAAGACTTGAATTACACCAGTCCACAACACTGCTGTAATTCTTCATACATAACCTCTCACCAAAGCTCTTCAGTGTTGCATGTGTGAGGCTGGTGAGTGTGAGTTGTGTTATTATGATGCCGATGATGAGATTAATCGACAGGTCATTGATTATGCTGGCATCATTGTACTGTTAGTAAATATAGAAAATTGCAAAATGTTGGTATTATTAGACTTTTCTTCTCTATAATACCTTCTCTATAATATTATTAGACTTCTCTTCCATGAACATGAAAGCTCAATTCTTAAATATATCTTAAATATATATCTATAAATATAGCTTAAATTGTTTTGATAACGGTTGTTGTACAAGTTTCTTTTTCTTCCCCTGCCCTCTCCCTCTTATCTGTTTCACTTTGTCTGTTTTTTGCTTTTTTTTTCTTGTTTTGTTTTGTTTTGCTTTGCTTTGCTCTATTTTGTTTTGTTTTGTTTTGTTTTACTGGCATTCTAGGTATCTATATCTGTTGTGCTACGTATCTTTGAACTGCAATCCAAAAGCATAGTTGTGTCCAAACACAATCATTTTCATGTAGGCATTGTCATAAAGCAGCTATTTAGGTAAAGAATGGGCTACTAATGCTTTTTTAATAGTCACATTTACATTGTAATTGTTCAGAGAAAAAGAGGAAGAAAGATCGCAAGTGCCAAAGGTGTACTTATTTCTGTTGGACACATACTGCCTAGCCATATTGATCCTAATTAATCCCATTCAGAGAAAGCAAATGCTAATAGGGAGGTAAAGACAAGTCCAGCAATAGGAAGGAAGTGTGTTCTTATCTGTACAGTGTTTGCATCACGAGTGCAAATACAGAACATGACGTTCACGCACACATTAGTTATTTTCTCTCTGTAAATGAGTACTCTTATGTGTTTTATTAGTTATAAACAACAAATAATTTGGTTAAATATGTATATTTCCTCAAATCCATGGTGGAAAACAAAAAGTCACTTTCTGACTTGCACAAGTGGTCTGGAGTGAGGAACATGATGACCCAGATCTATCTACCACTGCCTTCCTTTGCAGCTCCTATAGGCGATGCTTTGGTGTAGATTTTGAATGACAAGTGGCTGTGCAGCACCCAGAGTGTCCCAGCAGCCCTCTGAGTCAGACTCTCTCACACACACATACACACACACACACACACACACAAACACACTTCCTAACAGAACTGCATCACGCAAGGGACTGGAGAAAGGATTGCCGACTATACGACAGTAGGACCTTCTTAACACCCCGTGTGTTTCCTTCCTTGTGAGCTTTTGTCTCTTGTTTTGTTTTGTTAAGACTTCTAACTCACTGTGTTTGTGTCCGTGTGGGAAGTTCTCCTGTGTCAGGAGGGGGTTGTCTATAGGCTTAGATCTCTGCCACAATTCTGCGTGCGAAAGATCATATTTTGAGCGCACAATAGTGCATTTCGCACGCGCGCGATCTGAGTTTTGTGGAGAAAATATTTGTTTCGCAAAGAATAAAGTATTTAGAGTGCACAAAAATCAATTTTGCATTTAAAATAAGTTTTTGGATGTGTGCAGACCTTCTCTTTTGCGCGTGCAACGTTTCACTAGCTTGCTCACCTGATGCCTGCCCTCAGTGCTCTCTAAATGCCAACAGTTTGCTTGCTCAACACAACCCAGCGTTACAATGTGCCATAATTCCAGCCAATCAGAGACGAGGATGCTAAATTCTGATTGGCTGCCTTGACAAACATTCACAACATTTCTTGCATTACCACGACAGCAGAAGAGAAAAATACAGTGCATGCATAATTATTATGCAACATCAATCTTAATAACTATTAATCTTTTATTTAATCACTTATAATGTATATTTTATTGTTCATGAAGGCTGGAAGTGAAAAACGCCTCATATTCAGGTGTGCATCATTATTAAGCAGGTTATCTTCTACAGATAAAATCTCGAGATGGACTAAAAATGAACTCCATAAACTTACTGCCAGATTCTGGAAGATAAATTCTTCAAACAGTGGTACAAGAGGATGTGGTGCTGGTCCTTCAAGAGTCACTCTCAACTTATCTGTCTATAAAGCCTATATATATATATATATATAAATCAGTCTTCAAGTATTTTACTACACTTCAGTATGTGATTCTTATTAAGTAGCGTGCACAAAACGCACTTTTGCGCACTCAAAATATGATCTTTCGCGTGCAGAATTGTGGCAGAGATGTAATCCCATAGTTGTCTACTATGTAATGTGCCAGCTCTTCCTTCCATATCCATTCGTGTTGGCTTTTTCCAAAAAACAGCAATATCTGAGTCCAGTTCCCCTTCTTAAACAAACAAACAGACTATACAAAGGTAAGCTTTGTTTAGCTGTTATTATAACCAAAATTCATATCATTAAGTACAGCTATTTGAAAAAAATTGTCAAAACAAAAGTTTTTATTTCACCCCAAACTTTGGAAATTCGGTCATGATTTATTCTCCTTGTCGTTTCAGACCTGAATGACTTTATTTTCTCTGTGGAGCATAAAACAAGGTATTTTGAATATGTTTTTGCCTATACAGTGAAAGTCAATGGGGTCCAAAAAACACTGGTCTCCTGTGACTTTCATCATAGAGACAAAAACACAGACATTTTTCAAAATGTCTTATATTGTGTTCCACAGAAAAATGAAATTCACGAAGGTTTGGAATGACATTTACTAAACTTTCGGGATTTAAGTAGCTGGATTACAGTGGTGGAACAACATGTTAAAGTAAAGAATGACAGATCATGGTAATTTGCATACTGCATCATCCACAAGCTAATACACAGCAAGACTGTGTCATGAAATTACATTCAACACATATTTTTGTGAGCATATTTGGCATTATCTCTTTAGTGAATTAAGAACGAAAACACACAAATAAATCCATTTTTAACAAACTCCCCCTGAAGTCATTTGAAATTTAACCCAAATAATTACTATAGCCCACGAAGATCACTAAGACCTGTAAAGGGAATTTGTAACCAAATTAAACAACACTGGACTTGGTGGGTGAGAAAAGAAGACAAACCGAAGCCTTTTAGAAAGTTTGGCCACCCTTACAAAACAAAGCCAGAAATGGATGTGGAAGGAAAGCTTTCAGGCACTTTGGGGTCACGTGAAGCTGTTTTAAGTCCATATTAATCTACTGAAACACACTTATGTGTAAAAGGAAGACAAATTTGCTGCTAATAATGGAAAGACATCTAGTCTGAAATGCGCGAGCTTCACCTGGCCCACAGTGCTGAGTGAGGCTGCTTTGACTAGACGGAGCTCCTCTGTTGGACTCCAGTGCTAGTATCAGAACGCAGAGTGTTCCGTCTGAGACTGGGTCAAACACCTGGATGCTAAACTCTTTACCTCACTGCTGGTCTGAGTCAGCCATCAGGTGCTTCATCCACCTGCTCTTTTACACATCTGCTCTTATCTCTCCCTGAAAACTGTATGTGGCTGCGACTAAAGGGAGTTTTTTTTAATACTGCTGTGCCATAACAACAACAACAACAAATTGACAAGAAAACTTGATGACATTTCATAACTCTCATTTTCCTGTTTTGTCCTTGTCTCTGCCTCTGTCTGTCTTTCTGTCTGTCTGCTTCGGTGTCATTTACATCCGTTTCATTTTGTCATTCTTTGCTTTAAATTCTGTTTTTTTTACCCTTCCCTTCCTTTCCCCTTTAAAAAAATACCACTTTTGTCATGAATCCAATGTTTTTGTTTGTAAAATGCTTCCATAATAATTCCATTCATTCATCTTTCTCTAATGTATGTAACCTATCCGCTGACCATCCACCGGATTTTTGGGTTTTGAAGCTGCCGGCTACGAGAAGTCCCGCAGCCTCAATAACATCTCGGGGATGGCAGGGACCCCTCTGTGCCTGACCCCCATCACCCCCATCAACAACCCACCCTACGAGCCCTACGATACCCCCGGCCCCCTGCGCCGCTGCCGATCCCCCATACCCTCCATTCTGTAGCACATCTTAGGAAACAACATTGAAATAAGTGGAAAAAAGACACTCACGCACCATCATGCCGCAATAGTATTAATAATCACAATAACGATGCTAAGTACTCACACCTCCGCTCCTCCATTGACTGGACAGGGTGGGGGTACCCAGCACTCTTTTAATATGTCATGCCTCAAAGGGAATGGGATGAATTTGTTTAGGGATTTAGAGCTTTAAGTACTAAAATTACTTTATCGCATATACTTCAGGCAATACTTCAGACAGGCAACTAAAAACAATTATATGCTGTGACGTCAGCAGATTATGCCTTATTATCGAAGATAAATAATAATTTAAAAAAAAAGAAGCACTGAATATTACTAGGATAAATCTCCTCACTGGTCCATAGACAGCGACGAGCATCCTGTAGGAAATGTACCCCTGTAGCTGAATGACAGTTGGTTTTTCCTCATGTTCCCGCCTGATTGATTGCTGGTTGTATAAAAACGAGACTGATATCCAGCAGGCTTATTCACTGAGTACTAGTCGCTGCGATCAGCTTTGGTACACCATAATAGGCCTTGAAAATCCACTTCATATCAAAGCTTGGAATGATAAAGGTCATAGGTCAACATGCAAGTAGTTCAAGTGCATGCTAGAAAAGACGTCAGTTAGGCAAGTAGAATATAACTAAACTCCCAATCCCCTTTAACTGCTACGAGGATATGAAAATAAACGCACCATATGCTGATTTGAACTTGTAATTAAGCCCTGTGGTAGAGAATTAATGGATCGTTTTGGCTGATTTGACTGTGATGGAGTTTTTGGTGATTCAGGCAATAGAACATGATGAGTGTTATGATTACGATAAACACAAGGACCATCTTTAATCACACTCTGAGCATTTCCTACAGAAACTTTGGTTGTCACTCAATATTTTAACGTATAATTCACACTGTTATTATAATTATGCTCTTTATTTAGGACAATGAAAAAATGCTTAAACCGTTCTTCTGCAATATCGACTATTATGAAGACCTCTGACCCTGAGAAGCTGGAGATGAATCCTGCGAACTTTACTATGTGCAACTATTAACTTTTAACAACTAACAGAGAGACCGAGAACTGATCATTATTTGAAAAGAGGCTATTTTTATACTAAGCACTTGGACACTGCGATTCGGATCGGGGTTTGGAGTTGCGCGCGGGCGGCTTTGAGTTGACATTTTGGGAGGACAGGATATCGTGCTGTTGCATGGAGATCTACAGTTAACGTTTTGGTTTTTGTATTTTGACTCTCTGCATATTCAACACCAAGTACCACGAATTGAAAAGAGCAGTGGTCTGGACAAATGGCAGGAAAAAATATAAATAAATAATAAGGAGGAGCCATTGCTATTAAGGGCCTATAACCTTCTGCACTTTTTCGTGACCCTTTTTAATTTGTATACTAGTGCATGAAGGAACTGTCTTTAAAATATATCCTTTCCTTATTATGGTATTTCCTCATTAATATGAAGACATATCAAGCTGAACTTCACTCCTCACTGCATATCCGCATATCCTGGGGCTGTGGTGAACCAGACAGTGGCCTCAAAGTTTCCCTACTTAAGGGCAAGAATTAGCTGGACATTTTCATCCTCATCATCACTGGCATTACCATCCCTCGTCATAATCATTTTCTGATTACTGTTATTCCTCTAATTTGAATGCAGTAGAAAATCAGTTCAGTTTGTTTTCTCTTTGGTCCCCTTCTTTTCTTTCTGTTTCTTTTTAAAAAAATTTTTTTTTTTTACCTGCTCTGTCTCTTGGATGCTGGCCTTCGTTCCAATATAAAGGAGGGAACATTGAATGGATGCTGGATTGACAGCGGTCAGTAAAAGAAGAAAAAGAAAAGATGACAAAATGAACTCTCTGATATGCAGATATATGAGCCATATGTTTCACTGTGGGGGTGGGGGGGGGTCGATTGTGTCGATCTGCTGCATATTTCAGTGCAATACACACCTGGTGAAGATATCTCTGCAATGGCAGCTCACAAAGCTTATTGTTGTCTTTTTCTCCATGTGAAACAACAGACAACCTGGGGTATAAATGACAAAACTTGATAAGAAAGCAAAGTAGCATTATATATTTAGATGATTTTATTGTCTTGCAACTGAAATATTTTACATACCCATATTGAATCATTTATTAATTTACTTCAAATCATCTGTAATCATTCTTCTGGATTAAGCAACATGTTTTTTAATTTTAGAATTAATTTATTTATTTGCATTTAGGTTTTTTTATTTTTATGTCTTTTTGCTATTGCCACATTACTTGTTACACTCCTCTTTCCTT